ATTTCTGGCCTGTACCTCAGTCTTGTATGTATAAGTAAATCTAAAAAAAATTAAATTCCACTTAAAAAAAAAACTATCTGGGCCCTCCCTGGTGGCGCAGCGGGTTAAAGCACAGCACTGAGAAGCTAAAGCCACTTCCGCATGAGTTCGATTCCCGCCTGCCCCGGAGGAGACCACATGGTGTGGCAGACCTCTCCTGACCCACCCGCTGCTCCCCTCAGCAGTGTACTTCGTCGATCTGCCTGCTCTGCTCCCCACTCTGTCTCTGGTGAATCCTCTCACCCTCCGCATCTCTGGCCTGTACCCCAGTTCTATATGGATAAATAAATAAATCTTAAAAAAAAAAAAAACTATCCTTTTTCCTCAATGTTTGTAAATAAATCGCATTGTTGCACTCTGTCCCTATGTGGTGTCTTGCAATTGTTAGCACATGATTGAGAGCCCATAAACAATGACCTGTGCCCCACCTTTGGCACCGTTTTAATCTCAGTTTGGCCAGCACAGTTGTCTCCAACTCAGACCCAGAGTCTCCCTAATGAGCCCATCTTTATCCATCACAGTCAGTTCTTTTAGCCACCAGAGGGCGCCAACTAACGTCTAAGTGGTATCCCGGCTCCTCCATTATCCTGAACCCTCCCATAGTAGTGATTCCTATCCTGTTCTATCCTGCTGGTCTCTCGGCGCTACATCCCCACACCCACCTGCCCTTACCTCCTCCCTTTCTCCTCCTCTCTACCTCACTCTTCCTGGGTACACCAACCATGCCTTCAACTCAAGACCTTTGCATCTGTAGTGCTCTCCACCTGGCTTTGACATCCTTTATCCCAGATCTCCATGGCTACTTTTCTCACCTTCAAGTCTCAAGTCAAATGTCATCTCCTCTGGGATGTCCTCCCTGAACTCTATCTCTTCCCTTGTCCCCATCTCTTTTCTCAGGTATAGACACAAAAACATTAATTCAAAAGGATACTTGAACCTCTATCCTTTCTGCAGCATTATTTAAAATAGGCAAAACATGGAAACAACCTAAATGCCTAAAAATAGATGCTTGGATTAAGAAGATGTGTATGAAGCAATCAAAAAGATAAAATAATGCCATTTTCAGCAACAAGGATGGAGCTAGGGCTCATGCTCAGTGGAATAAGTCAAAAGAAAAAGAAAAATATGGTTTCACTTATAGTAGGAATATAGGGGAACCAAATGAGGGACCAAGGGGGTAAAAATAATAACAGGAATGAAAACACAACTGGGCTCTATTCCCATGGCTTTCCTTTCCCAAGAGGTTATCTCTTACCCTGCTTTATCTGCTAAGGGTAGCTCTTATCACTCTGAAAAGATTTATTGTCTTCTCTACCCTACACAATAGACATCCACTAGGAGCCACCCAGTGTGTTCTCCAGCTGGGTGACCTACACAGTACTAGGCCTCTATAAGAGTCAAGACTCACCACAATTTCTTGGCCTCTAAGGCTGACCCACATGGCAGTTGTAGTGTGAACTTTCTTCCTTTCCCTTTTCATTTGCTGTGTCAGGGCTGGGTCAATCTGAACCAGGATGTGATTCTTTCCTCACCCTCTTTTAAAACGGCGCATAAGGTTACCTCAAACTATTTAGTTGTTTGAATGTGTGCTCCCCAGCGCCTGGATGGTACCTGCAAGGTGGGTGAACGAATGAAGTAAAGTTCAAGGCACAGTAACAAGTGCGTGCTTATCCGGTGACTGAATGGTGTAATCCGGGACTAGGCGGCGCCTAGTTCTGCTTCCCTTCCCTCCGTGAGTCCGAGGTCCGGGAGCAGCGTGAGTTATCCTGCTGTTGCCCTTTATCCCCAGGGTCAGTTAGTCCACTTTCCCGCCCGCATAACGAGTTTGAAAACCGAAAACCCCGCCATTGCCGGCGGCCCACCGGTCGCCAAGACTAGACCAATCCGCAGCGGTACCGCCCACGCCGACTTGCAAAACCGCTCCAGCGACGCGTGGCTATTGGCTGCGTCGGCCACGTGGGCGGGGCGCCGAAGGGTCGCGCGCGGGGCAACCCCGCTGGGCTACGAAGTAGCGAGTTCGTAAGAAAACAAATCCTCCGCGTTCGTGGGCGGGGCGTCGGGCGTTCTGGCCCCGCCCCCGGTCACTAGCTCGGCGGAGGCAGCGGCGCCGGCTTAGAATAGACTCCGCCCGTCGAGAAGGAGGGAGGGTGAGTTGGGGGGGTAGACCCGGCCCCCAAGGGGCGGGCGCCGGGCCGGGCCCTAAGGGCTGTGGAGGGTTGGGCCGGGCTCCCAGTCTGGCGACCTGCTTGGTGACAGGAGGTGAAACCTGCCGGAAGGGTGGGGGTCGCGTAGGAGCCCTGTTCTGACGAGCCAGGCCGAAAAACGCGCAAAGGCCGGGCGCGCCGCGGGAGCTCTGTACCCGCCTAGCTCTGGCTGGCTCCCCCGCACTGACCTCTCGGGGTTGGGGCTGGGGGGCTTCACAGGCAGCCAGTGTCCGACATGCTGCTGGAGGAGGCTAGCGCCGGCAACCGTCTGAGCGGGGCCGCGGCCCGGGGAGACGTGCAGGAGGTGCGCCGCCTTCTGCACCGAGAGCTGGTGCACCCGGACGCCCTGAACAGCTTCGGCAAGACGGCGCTGCAGGTGAGGCCCTACCGGCCTCCAGTGAGAGCGGGGCGGGAGGGTAAAGGGAATGGGATCTCACACCCCCTTTTCTCGTGTTTCTGTCGGTATCCGACTCGGGGTTCGGTCCTCCTTTTCTGGACTGACGTCCCTGATGTTCCCTTTCCTAAGTGGGTGGAAGATGCGGTTAAGTGGGGGTGGGGATGGAAGAGCGGTCCACCTTTCCTGGAAAATTCCTTGCTCTCGTGGGTGAGGGTGCACCTTCTTCGGACCCAGATTTTAGGGGATGGCCCTTGGGGCTTCTTTGGATGGAATGGGATCGCTGGAAGTCCATGCGTCCCCCTTCTGGGGGGATTCTTGAGGAGGATCTCCATTCGTAGGTGGTTTTTTGTTTTCTTTCTCAGATCCCTGATATATTAGGGAGGTCCCAATGGAAGCCCCTATCCTCTGGGTGGCATTTAAAGGGGATCGCGATTTCTTGAGATGCTCAAGTATCTTGGGGAGTGTCCCATTGTATGGGAGAGACTGTTCTTTGGAGAAGGGATTTCAAATTCCCTGGGCATCTTCTTTTCTTTGAGGGGGTTGTCAAGTTCTTTGGGGACAGTTCTCCTTGGGAGAGGACTATTTCCTGAAGGAGGCTTCATATTTCCTGGTGACTTACCATATCTTGAGGAGAAGGTGCCTTTGGTCGCTTGGGGAGCATCTTGAATTTCTTGAAAGCTTCCATTTGGTTCTTCTCTAGATGCTGTCTTATCCTCAGAAGGGTGATGGAGGGGTGGGGACTGTTCTCTGTTCACCTGAGGCCTCTTGGTTCTCAGACAAAAACACCTGCTTGGGGGGCATGTGTTCCCTGGGATTTCCCATTTTCTAGAGGATCTCTCTTTTGATGTCCTATATTCCCAAGTGACCTGTCTTCCCAGCGACCCTTTTTCCTGAACCTTCTCTTTTGGGAACCTGCTGACCCTCTGCCCCCACACAGGTCATGATGTTTGGCAGCCCCACCATTGCCTTGGAGCTCCTGAAGCAAGGTGCCAGCCCCAATGTGCAGGATGCCTCTGGCACCACCCCAGCCCATGATGCAGCCCGCACTGGATTCCTGGACACCCTGAGCATATTGGTAGAGCATGGTGCTGATGTCAACGCTCCTGATGGCACCGGTGCACTCCCCATCCATCTGGCAGTGAGGGAGGGCCACACAGCTGTGGTCAACTTCCTAGCAGCAGAATCTGATCTACATCACAGGGATGCCAGGGGGCTCACACCCCTGGATCTAGCTCAGAGGAGAGGGGCTCAGGATCTCATGGACATACTGCAGGGGCATACGGTGGCACCACTGTGACCTGGAGCCACTCACTGCCAGCAACAGGACCCAGCTGGGTATATGTCATAAGAGGAGGGATGAGCACTTCTCTCCTCACTCCTCTTGTTGGCTGTCAAAGGGGAGGGGCACCAGTTTGTGGCTTGTTGGTGTTGATTTCTGGGATGTGTGTGTTTGAGGCTCATTTCTCATTTGTTTTTTCTCACCCCTTTTGGTGTGTTAGTCTGAGAAGGGCTCCTGCAGGCAACAGCCACCTAAACGGTTAGGTTTTCTCCAGCCCCTGGGTGCTGGAGCTACAGATGGTGCCCAAGGGCAAAGTGTTCAAAGCCTCAGTTCCAGAGTGAGGTCATCGCTTCTAGGGCTCCTGGAACCTGGCGACCTTGACTGGCTGTACCGACAGAAACCTCAAGTGTGCGCACTGCTTTGAGCTGGGGAGAAAAGGGGGAGGTGAGGGGAGTGTTCCAAATGTGTAGATGGATAGTATGAGTTTATTCATATTTTGTTGGAAGGTTGTTTCCCAGTCTCTTGTACAGCGTTAAAAACTTCTATTTATTAAGCTTTATGGAAAAAGTCGTTGTGTGATAATTTAAAGTTTTACCCATTAAATTAAGACTTGTGCGTGATCACATCGCTGGTGCCCTCTGATTTTTGAGTCTGTAATGTTGGACACACGCGTCAACCTGGGATGCAGTGTGGGAGTGGGGGGAGGGGGGTCACAGATAGGGGAAGGGGAGAGAGTGGTAATTCCCAGGGCGTCAGGGGTGAGTGAGCTGGGTGGGGCAGCGGTTTACGCAGTCGGAACGGAAAGGAGGCAGGAAACCGCTAGTGGAGAAAGGGCCCCCAGATGTCAGCTGGGTGCCGGGAGCCCAGTGGGTGGGGGTGGGTGGGGAGTGGGTGGGCGGTGGCTGAAGCCTTTCCCCGCAGAGACGTGACTGGTGCGCAGGGACTGCGGTCACAGAGCGCAGCGGAGCACGAAAGGACCGGGGGCGGGATTTCAAGCAGCCTGGGAGGCTCCGCACCCTTTAAAAGTTTACGGTGGGCGGGACCAAGAGCTGTCCGCCTCTTTCCGGGCGTCCATTTTACGCGTGCGCAGTTGGTCGCGAAGCCGCCATGCCGGAGCCGCACGCGTCGTCTCCGCTGCGAGTCAACAAGGCGTTTGCTGCCCGGTACGGCCGCTACCGGGAGCGAGAGGAGCTGCAGCGGCGTGAGTGCAGGACGCATGCGCGAGGGGTAGCGGCGCTTGGTAGGCGGTGGGGAGGTGGGTTTTGATCTGGTCCTGAGGCTGATCCGAGGGTGGGGGTGCCCATCTGTTCCCCGCAGTGAAAGATCGCTACGGAGACCCGGATAGCAGCGGCGACTCCAGCTCCGAGTCTGACTCCAGCGACGAGCGCGTGGTGAATACCCCATCCGCACCCTGCCTCTTAGGGCAGCAAGTCCCCAGGCCGTCTCGCCCTCCTGGAACGCCCACATACACGCACCACACACTAATCCCATTAGGGACAGCAGCGCCCTTTTTATCGCTAAGGGATACCCAACCCCTCACCCCTTATTACCTCTGCCACAGAACCTTCCACCAGCCCATTCTGATGACTGGAGTTTGACCCCCCGCTGCCCCCCTTCCTCATCCCTAAGAGCCCCAAGAGTAACCACTTCTCAGTGTCTGGCGCCGAACTGGGACATCCCTCTACCACCTAGGGCACCCAGGCTTCTCTCCACATTAGTCCTGACCTAGCCGGTTTCACTTTGCAGTCCGTGCCCGCCTTTATCAACCCCATGTGTCCACCTGCCCTGATAATTCATCTCCTCTCTTGTACTTCTGCATGGCCCTTCCCTGCCCATCCCCTCCCCCTGTTTGATCCCCCACTCAGACCCAACCTTCCAACTTCCCTGTGATCTGCCTTTTCCCAGCCTTTTCCTCTACCCACATTCTCACTTCCTTTCAGCCCATGTACCCTTGTTGGTTACTGTCCCCATCATCTGCCCTGGGCAGGGTTCTCAACTGGTCTATTTCGGCTTCTGCCTTAGGAATTTGACCCTCAACAGGAGCGTGACTTTTATAGGACTCTCTCTTTGTTGAAGAAGAAGGATCCCCGCATTTATCAGAAAGATGCCACCTTCTATCAGAGAACAGGTTTGAGGCTCCTCCTCCCTGATACCCAGGTTCCTTTTAACCTTATAGATTGTTATGAATAGTGATTATTATTTTTGCAAGGGCTTTAATAAGTAAATGCTTACCAGTGCAACTGCTAAGAGAGGAGTCAAGACTGAAAAAAGGGCCAAGATGCAGCCCTCCCTGGTGGCACAACAGGTTAAAGCACTGCAGTGTGAGTTCAATCCCAGGCCAGGAAGCTGACCCACATGGCATGGCAGACTTCTCCTGATCCGTCAGCTGCTCCTCTCAGCAGTATATTTCAGTACATCTGCCTGGCTGCTTCCCATTCTGTCTATGCTAAATCCTCTCACCACCCACTACCCCTGCACTTTTGGCTTGTACCCCTCCTTCAGTATGCATAAATAAATCCAAAGAAAGAAAGAAAAATGGGGCCAAGCTAAGGGGGTCATTTCAGACTAAGGTCCATGGAAGGTAGCTTCAGCCTACTGTACTGAGGGCTGGGGTGCATAATGATGACGTGGAGTTGTACCAGCTTGGGATAAGAATCTGGATGCATACTCTGCATTCTCCAGCAGCCATTGACTGAGGGGCCTTGTAGGGGACATTTCAATGCCCAGGTGCTTGGCGCTCCCACTTTGTGTAGTTCCAATAATTGGAGGACAGTGCCCTCATTTACTGGCTGGTGCAGAAGTGCTAGATCTTATCCTTTGTGGCCATCTTGGGAAATAAGCAGCTATTTGATGATCTCCTGGCTGACTTACAAAATTATTGGGGCACAAAGGAAATTTCCCCATACCCTTCAGGGTTTTTCTAGACTGGCAAAAAAGTCAAATGAACATCAGACAAACTGATATGAGAAAAAGTAAAAAACAAAATTTAATCATCATAGTGTGTATGCCTCCTGTGTACATAGAAAGAGCCAACTTAACTGACTAACTATTTAGTGAATTGTTTTGTTTTGGGTAAAAAGTGCTTAATGATGTGTCTTAGATTATTACCTGTTGATGTTAATAATTGTGCATGGCATTGTTCAGAGTGTGACTTAATCACTGTATGATTAAACCTAGTTATTGCCAGGTAGTAGCAAATGTGGAGATTTGAAATCTCAGTCTTACCCTGCCACAGCTCTGTGGGAGTCTTTGTTGTTTTTTTGTTCAAGATTTTTATTTTTAGGGGCCTCCATGGTGGCACAAGGGGTTGAAGTGCAGCACTGTGAAGCTGCCCACAGCCACTGCAACATGAATTTGATCTCTGGCCAAGGAGGTGACCCACATGGCATGGCAGCCTTCTCCTGTCTCTCCTGCTGCTCCCCTCAGAAGTGTATTTCATTCAGTCTGCCTGTCTGTTCCCCATTCTGTTTCCAGTGAATCCTCTTGCCCTCTCCCCGCCACCTCTGGCCTGTACCCCAATTCTTGTGAATAAATCTTTTAAAAAAATTTATTTTTACTTATTTGTGCATACAAGAGCTGGGGTAGAGGCCATAAGTATGGGGGTGGTGTCTGAGAGGATTCACCAGAGACAGAATGGGATGCAGAACAGAGGGATTAATTGAAAAACACTGCTGAGGGGAGCAGTGGGGTAAGACAGGAGAGGTCCACCATGCCATGTGGGTCAGCTCCTTGGCTAGGATCTAACTCATGCTGCAGTGGCTGCAAATAGCTTGATAGTGCTGAGAGTTAACCCTAGGGAGGTCCCGCTGTGGGAGTCTTTGCCTGGGGAGTAAAGGGGGTTGTGGGTGACGGCAAGTGTCTCTGATGGCCCATAGCATCATCCTCGGAAAGTGAGGACGAGTCAGCAGCCAAGGCAAAGCAAAAGAAGGTGCAGCCCATGTACCTGAAGGACTACGAAAGAAAAGTTATTTTGGAGAAAGAAGGGTGAGAACCCTCTTCACTTACCCCCTCATCCTCGCCCAGGTCTCCCCATCCACTGTGTCCCGTCCCCGTCCCCCCCCCCTGGGCTTTGGACACAAGGAGTCAGTCTTAGGATTAGGTGTGGGCAAAAACTAGTGACTCACCAGAATTGAGGGAACTCCAGAGAGCAGGAGCCTGGGTGATCTGCCTGCACTCCAATACCCCCCTTTATGTCCCCCCCCCCATTACTGCTTTGAACAGCTCCCCACACCATGGGGACAGATGAGCCATAGGTATGTATCCTCAAGCCACATCCTTCCTTGTACAGCAAATATGTCGACGAGGAGAATTCAGACGGGGAGCCCTCCTGTCAGAGATTCCAGGTAGGTGGTGTGGATGCTAAGGGCGTGGCTAAGGGGCCCAGGGCAGGTTCTGAAGCCTGTGTCTCTCTCTTTAGCAGATTTCTTCAAAAAGTTATGTGGAAGAACAAAAACAGCTCAAGGAAAGGTGAGCCTGAGCCAGGCAGATAGCCAAGTGAACCGGAATCGAGGGTTGCAATCTAGATTGCAAAAGCCTGTGTTCAAATCCAATTTAGTGGCTGTATGCAATTGGGCAGGTCATTTGCCCTTTCCATGACTCAGTTTCCTTATCCACTAAATGGGCTTGAGAATGCTTTTCGTGTCCTAGCACCTCTCTGAGCTTGTCAGGAGAGCTCAGAACTTAGAAAAGGGACACTGGGGGAAGAGGAAGCCTGCCTGTCCTGAGGTTTGTTCCGTCGCTTGGGCAGCTTCCAGGCGTTCATGGAGGACAGTGAGGATGAAGACAGTGCCGGAGAAGGTGGCTCTGGCTTGCTGCAGAAACGAACTAAAACCAGGGAGGAGAAGGTGGGTGTCGGACCAAGGTGGGGTGGGGTTTGGTGCTCCCACAGACACTCAGCACTGGCTTCCACCAGGCGCAGGAGGATGCTGACTACGTGGAATGGCTGAAAGGGCAGAAGGAGATTCGAAACTCAAACACTCATACGCTGGAAGAACTAGTGAGTCCTTGCACTGTTGCCCTTTCCGCCTCCATCCAACCTTTTTCCAGAAGTGGACCCTTGAGGGGGTTGCCAAGCGCCTGTGCCTCTCTGGGCCTCAGTTTCTATGTCTGTGATGTGGGGGTATTACTTTATTAGCTAGCCATCTATGGGGTTTCAGTTACTTAGGTCTACTTGGTGCCCACTTTCACCCACCTGCCCATTCCCTAAGTCCCTGATTTGGGACTGCTCTCTCCCTCACTCCCAGACCCACCTCAAGGAATATTGGAACAACCCAGAGCTGGATGAAGGAGAGCAGTTTCTGCGAGATTATATCCTCAACAAACGCTATGAGGAGGAGGAGGGAGATGAGGAAGAAGAAGATCAGGAGGAAGGGTAAGCAGCCATGTCCCCTGGGGCCAGAAGGCAAACAGTACTGGGCATTAATTTCTTTTACACAAATGGTGGAGTTTGTCCATTCCTAGTGAAACTCCTTAGGTGTTGGCCCTGGAGCCAGGTGGCACTAGTTCAAATCCTGGCCCAGCTGTTCGTCTTTTCTCATCTGTAAAATGGGCTAACAACACCCTACTTTAGGGTTATTTTGAAGATTGAGTTAATTCAGCTGATAAAACGATAGTGCAGGATCTCAGTTGACCCCTATTCCATTCCATCTTGTTCCTCAGGGTCCCCAGTCCTGTCCAGTTGGCTGTGGAAGACTCCTCAGATGAAGGGGAGCTATTTCTGAAGAAGCAAGAGGACTTTGAGCACAAGTACAACTTCCGCTTTGAGGAGCCAGACTCTGCTTTGGTGTGTGGCCAGAGCCAGGGATGGGGAGGACCTGGCCCCAAGCCCAGACTGGAGAACCCAGAATCATCTCTTCGCCCTTCTGTATTCCTGATGCCCACAGGTCAAGACCTACCCTCGGAGCATCGCGTCCTCTGTGCGCCGCAAGGATGAGCGCAGAAAAGAGAAGAGGGAGGAGACCCGGGAGCGAAAGAAGAGGGTGAGTGTGGGCAGCTTGCTGAGGAGGGGCCTCACCCTGCTGGGAGCACTCTCACCTTTCTTATACTACCCCTCCCCCACCAACAGTTCCCCTCTTACCTACTGCTGCCCGCAGGAGAAAGTGAAGAAGCAGGAGGAACTCAAGCAGCTGAAGAACCTGAAGAGGAAGGAGATTCTAGCCAAGTTGGAGAGGCTGCGGCAGGTCACAGGCAATGAGACGCTGGGCTTTGAGGAGCGGGACCTTGAGGATGACTTTGACCCGGCCCAGCATGACCAGCTCATGCAGGTGTGTGCACATACCCAGGTGCTAGGGAGCATGGCTCTGGAGTGTAGTCCCTGACTGTGGCCTCAGAGGAGGCAACTGACTTCTGATCCTATTTCCCTTCTGTGAAATGGGTCCAGCCACACACATACCTCTGGGCTATTGTGAGAATGGCTTGTAGGGAATGCACATAAAAGTTTAGTTAGTAAGTGCTCAAGAAATGGCAGGTTGTTGTATCTCCTTTTGATTCATTTACTGAGCTGCTATGGTTATTTTGCATTTGAGGGAACATGGCATCAGGTGTTGAGGTCCCAGTGGGAACAAATAGGAGTAGTAAGGGAAACCTCAGGAGACCAAAAGCAGCCTCTCATCAAGCCTGGGAGGTTAGGCTAGGAGACAGGATTCCTAGGTGGGTCAGGTAAAAATTGATTGGTTGGGTGTTGGATAGCTGGAGTTCAGCCTTCACTTTCTAGAACTTTCTAGCACTGAGCTTCAGCTCTCAATAGGATGGAGGTAGTTTCTATATCTCGGGATGGTTGTAAGAATTCAGCAAGATACAGCCCATGTTGAGCAAATAGTAGATGCTTAATAAATGACATAGTATATAGTATATTCCTTTACCAAGGCTCCAGTGGGTGGTAGGGTTCCAGCAAGGAGCCATCATGGTCTCAGCCCTTTTGGCTGAGGAGGGACGGGGCAGTAATGTGGTCACACCAGGGGAGACTGGGTCTTAAAGAAGTCTCCTACCTGATTTGTCAGGGTTGGTGGGGAGTATGTCGCGGAAATAAGATCTGAGGCCCAAGTAGCAATTATTTAAGGTGAAAGAAGACCTAGACAGTTTGCAGAGGCCTGCAAAGTTCTGGGGGGAAAGAAAAACTGTGGGTTTGTGGAACAGAATGGCAGGTGCTGTGTGTGTGCATGCACACACAAGCTTATATATATATAGAAAGTCGGGTGTGGAGGAACCTGGACAGCAGGTTTCCTCTGAGAAGCTTGGTCTTGGGAGGGCAATGAGGAGCCATGCAAGGAGTAAAGCTCTTTACTAGGCCCTGCTGACCTGGTTCTCAATCCTGCAGAAGTGTTTTGGGGATGAGTACTATGGCACCATGGAGGAGGAGAAGCCACAGTTTGAGAAAGAGGAAGGACTTGAAGGTAAGCCATGCCAGTACAGGGGAAGGAGTCAGGTAGTGGAGGAGAGACTGGGTCTGAAGCGTAAAGTTCCAGCCTGACCTCCGCCTGGCTCACCTGGGCTTGTCTATTCTCTCTCAAACCAGATGACTGGAACTGGGACACGTGGGCTGGGCCAGAGCAGGGTGGTGCTTGGAGCCAGCAGGAGCTACACTGTGAGGACCCAGACTTTAATGTAGGTGCTAAGGGTTGAGGGGGCTTGTCATGTGGTACTGGGACCCCGAGGGCTGACCTAACCTGCAGATTCCGGCAGATGGATGCTGATTACAATCCCAGCCAACAGCGGAAAAAGCAACGTGAGGCCCCCTTGACAGGGAAGAAGAAACGCAAGTCGCCCTTTGCCTCAGCCGTGGGGCAGGAAAAGCCTGTTTTCGACCCTGGTGAGGCATTGGAAATGGTTCCTGGGTTGGCAGGGGCTCCACAGGCTTAGCATACCCCAGCAGCCTGGTTCTCTCCCTTGAGCAGGAGACAGAACTTTTGAAGAGTACCTGGATGAGTATTACCGGCTGGACTATGAGGACATCATTGATGATCTGCCCTGTCGCTTCAAGTACCGAAGTGTGGTGCCCTGTGACTTTGGGCTGAGCACTGAGGAGGTAGGGCGCTGCCAGTCAGCAGACAGTGGGATACGGGGTGGAGTGGAGGTACCAGTAAATGAGAGTGGCTAGGCAGTAAGTGCTGTGTCATGGCTAGACAGGGAGCTGCAAACAGTGCTTTATCTACAGTATCTCTCCATAATAAACTTTCAGTTCTGTTACACTCTGCAGCATGGTGACCATTCAGACTAAGTGGGCTTTGGTATCAGATGACCCAAGTTAAAGCCCTGACTCAGCCAGTCACCAGCTGTGTGACCTTGCTATGATTTAAGCCTATGTGCCTGAGTTTCCCCATTTGTAAAATGGGCATAACAACAACCCCGTCTATTATCTCATGGCTGAAAGGAATGTAGGAAACTACACTTGTCTCTGGTGGATACTTGGCTATTAATGATTATTAAAAGTAGCCAGTGTTTATTGAGCTTTACCAACTATGTCTATTCAGTCCTCCTGATAGAGAAGCCACAGAAAGACAAAGCCAGTCTGCATGGGCAGCAGCTGACACCTGATAGGGTCTGCAGAAAGCAGCCCTGGCCTGAGAGCCCCCCAGTGCAGGATAAAGGGACCCCTGTGTCATCCAGCCAGAGGAGGTTCTGAGGGATGCCTACCTTATACATGAGGAAAATGAGGCGTGAAGGCAGCTGCCTGGTTTGAAGTTGGGTCTCATCTGCAATTAGCAAACACCATCATTGGCATAGAGACCATTTCCCTGTTTAGAGGTTTCTGGGGCCACGGTCATGGGTGAGAACTCTGTGGAGTTCATGAGCCCAAACGACTCTGAAATCAGCCACAGAAGACAGAGAGGCATCTGCCTAAATCACTTCTCTCCTGCTATTATGGCATCCCTGCCAGGTAGCTCTAGTATCATCCTGTTTTGACCAATGAGGTGAAGTCAGGGCCCCCCAGGACTCACACAGCAGGGTCCCAACCTCCCTTTCCTTGCAGATCCTTGCTGCCGATGACAAGGAGCTGAACCGGTGGTGCTCCCTGAAAAAAACCTGCATGTACAGGTGATAGGGTGGGGCTGGGCGGGGTGCCCCGAGAGGGGAGCTGGTGGACAGACCTGGGCACTCCTAGAGCACCAGCCACAGTTGTGCTTACTGGGCTGCTGCAGGTCAGAGCAGGAGGAGCTACAGGACAAGAGGGCATACAGCCAGAAGGCCCGGAACTCATGGAAGAAGAGGCAGATCTTCAAGTCACTCTGCCCAGAGGAGTGAGTATCTCCAGCTGGGGGAAGTGGGGACTCAAATTTGAGTCTTGCCATGACTGAGAATAGGGCTCCCTCATTGAGACATGGGTTCAGATTTTGGCTGGGCTGACTCTGAGATGATGGGCAAGTTATTTTCCCTCTCTTCACCTTTTTCCTCACTATAAATGGCTTATTTCTAGGATTAAAATGAGTTAATTTATGTTACTTAGAAAAGTAAATGCTGTATAGGTATTAGATATTGCTAGTTATAATTATTTCCTGATCTATAAAGATGGGGTGAAAAAAGCTCACCGAGTTAATTTGAAGCCGAAATGAATTGATTTATGTGAGTAGTTTAGTGGGAGTCCCAGGCATTAATAGAATTTATAGTGACATAGTCCAGCCTCAGGATTTAGTAGGATGATCCTAGTTTTGGTGTCAGATTTGGGTTTCAATCTGAGGCTCCCAAATTGCTCTATTGTCACTTCTCCGAACCGTTCCTCATCTGTAAAATGGGGGACATGTACTTAGGAACAAACCTAAATGTGATAAGCTAAGCCCTGACTTTTCCTCTTCCAGGACGGAGACATCAAGGGAAGCCACAGAGAAGCCACAGAAAGACAAAGCCAGTCTGCATGGGCAGCAGCTGACACCTGATAGGGTCTGCAGAAAGCAGCCCTGGCCTGAGAGCCCCCCAGTGCAGGATAAAGGGACCCCTGTGTCATCCAGCCAGAAGCCAGCCTCCCAGAAGCGGAGGAGGGGCAAGAAGGCCCGTCTTCTGGGCCCCACAGTGACGCTTGCTGGTCATGAGTTCAGCCGTCAGAGACTGCAGGCCTTTGGCCTCAACCCCAAACGGCTACACTTCCGCCAGTTGGGCCAACAACGGAAGAAGCAGCAGGGGCTCAAGAACGCGCCCTAAATTCAGCAGACACCCTGGGTCCCACTCCACCACCAATCAAGTCCCTGATTGCATCACTCTTCTGGTTGAAAGTACAGACCTTCTGTCTACCTATGGGCTAGGGAGTCTTTTACCAGCTCATGCAGAACTGAGGCCTACTGAATACGTAGAGACAGGCTGGAGATCATTCCTCAAATGCTGGGCTCAGCCACAGCCACTGTCAAGTCAAACGGCTTTATTAGTCCCCAGTGGCCTTAGTTTCCTGGCACCACCAGCCCTTGGCAGAACAGGAGCCCCAGGACCAATGAGGGGCACAGGCAGTCCAGTGCAAACTACAGTACTTGAGTCATGCCCTGAGTGGGTGCTCAGAAGCTTGCGCTCCTTCCCTGCCCTGTGAGGTGGGCAGCAGCCCAGTTGATGGGAGGCAGGCCTATAGCCTCTGCTCTTGGCCAAATGGCCCCTGCCCAAAGTTCTGGACTGTTCTCAGCTGCACTTGTCAAGGGGGTGAGAATGGGAAGTCCCATCACCACCAAAGTTCAAGTTCCCATACCCAGTGTGACATAAATAAAAAAATAGTGTCGCATCTTCTCCCCCATCCCCTCCCTTTATAAAAACACAAAGTCCTCAGAGCTTGGGCGCTTGGCTTTCAGTAGTCGCCCAGTGCGAGGCAGCCGCAGTGTTGGCTGGGAGAGCTGGGAACAGAGGTCATCCAGGCTGTGGTCCTGAGCATGGCCCTCGGCCAGGGTGAACATGGGGTACCGCTCTGAGGTGGATGAAGAGCTGAGGACCTGATGGGAGGAGGGAAAGTAATCAACCCCAAACATAGTAGCCAAGTAATTCTGTAGGTCTAACTATCCAAATAGGCTATTAGGTGCTTCCTGTATGCAGATCCTATCCCTCGGGGCAGTTAGCTAGGCCAGTCAGCACCCAACATTCCCTAGGTGGTGCAGTGAAGTACATCTTACCTGGCAGGGCCAATGAAAGGCAATCCTAGGATTTTTGCTCCATTTGTGGGGTGGGTGTGAGCGACAGGGGCTCCCCTTTCATTGAACTGGGAGGTAGGTGGTCAGAGATGCCTCCTAGATGTAGCTGTCCCCCTCATGTCAGCAAAGCATTTTATGCCCCATCTTTGTATAAGTTACAACTGGGCTTGTGGGAAGAAGCCTGGAGCGGCCTCCCCAAGCCTGTTGAATTCAAGATCTCTGTTGCTGTCCCAGCCCTACTTGTACTTTGCCTCCCACCCTCTACCACTCTTCTTGCTCACCCTGGTCAGCTCTGAGCAAAGTGTCTCAAATTCCTTCCTGTCTCCAGCGTAGAACCCCACAGTACAGCTTGGGTCCATCTTGGCAAAGGCCATCTTGCGGGGTGAGGTGCAGTGGAAGGACTGTGGCAAACACACAAGGGAAGATCAGGGGGCCCTGATTCCTTCCCATGCCCCCAACCTCACCCTGGGAATCCCAGCTCACCTCTAAGGGGAAGTCAGCCTGGCTGACGTCCACAGTGGGCTGGCAGTAGTGAGGGTCCAGGTAGAGCAGGAAATCATCTGCAGGGGAGAAGGCATAAGTGGGGGCTGGGGAAGCTAAAGGGGTAGGTAGAGCAGGATGGGGTGAGCTTACCTTGGTAGCCAATGAAGTACAGAGAGTGTCGTGGCTTGCCCCCAATGATACCCAGGCATAGCTCTGAACGCAGGAGCTCCTGTAAAGAGGGAAAGCAGGCTATGGTGAAGACTTGGGGTAGGTGCTGTCAGGCGTCCTCAACAAATACCAGTGCCCAAAATGTGGAACCCATTGCTGGGCTCTAGGGGGCCAGAAGTGACCAGGATAGACAAAACCACCACCCTCTAGCTGATGTGGAAGGCAACGAGATGAGGTCATATGTCAGGAGTAAACACTACAGATAAGAACAAAGGAGGGGAGGGGGCTTTTTGATTTTTAATTAGGGGTGTCAGGGAAGGCCTTGCTGAGTTGGCATTTCAGCACTCCTTTCAGGGAGAGCACTCTAAGTGCAAGTGCAAAGACCCCGAAGTCATTTTGTTCTGAGAACAGTAAGACAGTCCATGTGGCTAGAACAGAGCAAGGAGAAAAGGGGGCAGATGAAGTCAAGAAAGCTCTTGTGGGAAGAGCTTTCACCAGGGAAGGGCTTTCTAGCCTGTGCAATCGTGCTAGCATCTGGCAACTTAGTTTTGGTTCTTTTAGAGCCCAAGTTACAACGCTATTCCCTGGTGACAATTTTGGTTCCAAAGCTAACATTTCCCTGTGCTCCCACAGGCACAGATTTTGCCTGTCCAGTTTACCTCTGTACCCCATCAGCTGACTACTTGGAACACAGGTGTACTGTAACTATGGAATAAACAGATGAAGGGATGAGGAAGCATTAACAGCATCCATAGCCCAAACTGAAAACAGCCTACTGCATTCCTACAGAGGTCCAGTGGGCCTGGCAGAACCTACCTTTACACAGGGCACGTACACAGGGTTAAGAGTCTCACCACCCAGTCTCACAGGCACCAGGATGACCACAGACTTCCACTCAGCTGAGGGGTCTGACTTGGTCACCAGGCGAGCCACGTCTGCTTTGTACACTGAAACAACAAGGTAGCCAATCCCTCAATGGCCTCTTAAGCCCCAGAGTACAGCCCTAAAACCCCAAGAGCCCAACCATGCCTGTGCAGCCACTCCAGGTTAACATTCCATTGACTATAGAGGACATCTTTCCTGTGTCCCCATATTCCCCTAGACAGTCCCAGGACCTCTACACAGACATCTTTTCACAGAGAAGGAACTGAGGCCAAGATCTGAACAAAGAACATAAAGCCAGGGGACTCGGTGGTGCAGGGATTAAAGTCTCAACAACAAAATCAAGCTATTGAGAGCCACTGCACTGGAGTTCGCTCCCATGCCAGGGAGCTAACCCACATGGCACAGCAGACCTCTCCTATCTCGCACGCTGCTCCCCTCAAAAGTATATCTCAGTAACTGGTTGGCCTGTTCTGCTCCCTATTATGTCTCTGGTAAATCCTCTCACCCCACCCCCATACCTCTGGACTCCACCCCAGATCTTGAATGCATAAATAAAATAAATATTAACAACAACAACAACATAAATCCTGGAAGAGATGGAGCACCTTTCTAATCCCAGGCCTTACTAGGCCTCACTGACTTAGTACCTTGGCACCCCTCAACCAAGCATCTCCTCTCAAGTCCTGCCTGCTGACTTTTCTTTCTTCTAAAATATTTATTTATTTACATATACAGAACTGGAATACAGGCCAGAGGTGCAGGGGCAGTGGATTCACCAGAGTCAGAGTGGGGAACAGAAAAGGCAGATCTACGAAGTACACTGCTGAGGGGAGCAGCGGGCGGGTCAGGAGAGGTCTGCCGCGCCATGTGGATCTCCTCCAGGGCAGGCGGGGAAAAAACTCATGCGGAAGTCAGGAGAGGTCTGTTGTGCCATGTGGGTCAGCTCCCTCGCAGGGATCAAACTTGCATTGAAATGGATGCAGCTAGCTTCGCAATGCTGTGCTTTAACCCGTTGTGCCACCAGGGAAGGCCCTACTGACTTTTCTGACTTCAGAGAAGTATATTCAACCCTTTCTGCACACATGGCAGAAACATGTTTATTCATATTCCCCCTCCTCAAATTCACATGTTGAAACCTAACCTTCAAGGTGATGGCATTAAGAAGTGCAATCTTTAGGAGCTGATGAGGTCTGAGGATGGAGCCCTTATGAATGTGAGGGATCAGTGCCCCCATATGAGACCCTAAAGAGTATTCTTGTCCTTCCACCATGTAAGGACACAGCAAAATGAATGGGGAAGTGGGCCCCCGCCAGTCTGCTGGTTTGAACTTTTTTTTTGAAGAACTGGGGCACTGACTTGTGGGGGGTGAGAGAATTCACCAGAGAGAAGCAGAACTGGTGGACAAACCAAAACACACTGAGGGGAGCAGCAGGTGGACCAGGAGAGGTCTGCTATGTCATGCAGATCACCTCCCTGGCAGGGGTTTGAACTCATGCTGCAGTGGCTGTGGATAACTTCATAGTACTGTGCTATTTAACCCATTGTGCCACTGGGGAGGACCCCAGTTTGAACTTTCTAGCCTCAGGACTGTGAAAAGTAAATTCCTATCATTTATAAGTTACCTCATCTCTGGTATTTTTGTAATAGTAGCCAAAAAATATTAAGACAAAGACTCTTTGTGAAAACAGAACCTGGCCATAGACACCAATAACTTTTGCATAAAAATTTAGATTTTCATTAGATTGTCTAATACCAATGTGTAGAAGCTCCTATTAATTAAGACTAAGTTGATTTGGGGAAGGCAGTAGGAATAATAATATTTAGTGAACACCCCCTATAGGACAAGCACTGTTCTAGGATTTTACTTATATTATTGACTCATTTAATCCTAATGACAACTCTATGAGGCTGAGAGCAGACTTTCACACATGTTAAAATTTTTTGCACAGTAAGAATGAACTCAACCTGCGAGAAGGAAATCCTTAAGTATTTTATTCTTGATAAGCCCGATTCTTCCTCTCCTGGTTTCAGGGGAATGGACAGATCATAGACACCTCCCACTATGTGGAGCCTTAAGTCCTATCCAAGGGTCCCTCTGCCCCAGAATGTGCTTCAGCTCTAAGGACCAGAGAGCTGAAGTAGTGACTGGCTCAGGGTGAGAACTCTGTGACCTTGGTTTTCAGCCCCTTACCTGTACAGTCCTGAGAAACATACACTACCAGGCGGGTGACCTCTGAGCTGCTTTCCACAGCTTTCCTGGAAATGAGAGGAAAGAGACTGAGTTTCTGCACGTACTCTTTGCTTTCCACGTCCCTCGCAGCAGTCCTCACCTGAGTATATGTGCCACCAGAGATGGCCCATACCAGTCACCTGCCTTCTTGCCTGAGCTTTGCCCAAGCTCTACCAGTCGATGTAGGCCAAAGGGGGCCTGAGGATGGTCAGCGAACCAGGATACAATCTGCCGATGCCGGTGTTCCTGCTCCAGTTCGGGGGCACCCTGGGCCCAGTGCGAGGGCATCCAGCGGGCTGGCCCATGGTGTCGGTTGGAAGAGGCCAACCCTGATGGTTCAGGGGGGCCGGGGCCTATGCCCTCTGTCCATCTCCAGTCTGGTGGGGATGGAGTAGAGTCAAATGATGCCAGGGTGTGGAGGACATGTTCTGATTTATTCATGCTTTACACACAATTCTAATGCTCCCAACACCACTATGTTTAACTGCAATTTTCATGTTCCTGAAACTTTTAAACAACACTCCCTGCCAAAATTTAGTTGACACACAATTCAAGCAAGACTTCAAACTCAGATTGTTATCTGAGTGTGTACTCAGCACATTCCACTGCTCACCTCTGGGTAGCAAATGCAGCAGCAGGCCCTGGGCCAGCATCATCTGCCCGCTGCGTAACATACATCCCCAGCCACAGTCTGAGGTCAGGCAGCCCCCAGCAAGGGGTGGGAAGTCCCGACGGTAAGTGAGCCACAGGCGAGACACAAAGTCACGCTGGAAACGTTGGATGTCACCTAGGAAAGTCAGCCTGTCAGCTGCCACCATGGCCATCCTGTTGGGCCTCCACCAGCCTTTCCCCTAGATTATCAGCTCACCCTCGCCTTCAAACCGGTAGCGACGGCCACAGAGGTGGACACTGGAGATCTTACTAAAACTGGTCCGGCTTTTGACTGCCCAACCTGTGAAGATGTGGGACAGTGCCCAGCGAGATGAAGCAGTTGCTTGACAGCTACAGCACTCCTGTTCCCCTTCGTGACTATCCTAGTTCCCAGCTCAGGGAAACTCCGTGGAATTGCTGTCCCTCAGATGGAGCCCCAGGGCCCCTAGTAATAGCCACAGGAGTGCCTGCCATCTGGAAGAGTTGGAGCAGTTTTGATTGTTGTACTCATTTTGCAGAGGGGGAGGGGGTGGTAGGGAGGCACACAGAAGCAAAAAAAACTTTGCCTAAGGTCGCAAAGGGAACGGAAGGGACTTGTAAATACATTGCCCGTTGAACCTGCCGATGGTCAGCCAAGGGCAGGGCAGTGCAGGGCGGGGAACCCACCGGTGACTCACGGGAGAATAAATGGTGGTATGCTCGAAGGGCAGGGTCTGGTCCTCTGACTACACGGACTCCCACAACCCTTGGCAGGCCGAAGCCGTGGCTCCCTCCCACCCCAGAACCTAGGCCCCCGCCCGCCCCCTCCTCACCGTACTTCACGTTGTTCCAGGCTGTCAGGAACTTCGCCTTAAACTTGTCCACTTCGTCTGGTTCCCCGGGTGAGGCCCCGGGCGAGCCAAGAGCGGGGCCGCTGGCTCCCGAAGGCCCCAGGCCGTTGGGGTCCGGGACTCGGGAGCCCCGCGGCCTGCGGCCCTCGGGGCGGCGCGCGTCCTCCGGGCTCCCGCTCCGGTACTGCGAGGCGGCCGGCGACACGGAGTTCATGGACGCGCTGGGAGGGCAGACCGCGGCCCGGGTAGGGGCCGCGCGCGAGGCCCCAGAGGGCCAGGTCGCGGGCGCCGAGGATGGCGCTACTTGGCCCC